ATGATGAACATGGAATCAGAGAGAGGGGTAGGGAAGGTAGTGGAAATGGGGCTTCCATTTCATTCTGGGTGTTGGGCCCAAAGCTCCCTGTGGCTGGCCAGGGAGCCCTGTCCTCTGCAAGGTTGAAAGGGACCTGGGTATAATAGCTGGTGCTGCAGTGTCCCCCAGGGCTGAGCCAGAGCAGCCCCCTCCTTCCAGCGTCTCTTTGGGCAGCCTTTCAGATTCACCATCCATTAAAGAGAAAGCTCTTTCCAGATCAGAGTGGCCCCCTCTGGACTCAGGGCCCTGTGGTAGAATTGCACCCTCATGGGAACTGCTTTGAACACACTAGGAGACACTCCGAGGAGTCCAGCTCTGAGCCTCCCTTGCCTTCCTGTTTACAAAGTCCGTGAAGGAACTTCCTTCCCAGAGCTCACAGTACAATCAACCAAGGTCCCCTGTGATGACTCTGATGTGCATCTTGGTTACATGAAGGTTATCTCCCTAGGACAGGGGTCCTTAAATCTGAGACTGAGACTTAAATCTAACTGAGGTTAGGAGGACTTGGCAATCCTCAGATATAATTTCATTTCCTCTTTTTGATTTCCTCTTGGTTTCCCAGTAATCAAATCATTTTTGTTAGCAGCAGTAGTGGGTATTTGTTAATCAGCTAGTGTATTAATTGGCAATTTTCATGCATTATCTTTAATCCATACAACAACCTGACTCCAATTTTATACATGAGGAGAGGGAAGCTCAGAGAGATCAGTAATTGGCCCTGAGTCAATGTTCTTCTGCTTCTATTTCTCCTTCTCTTTCTCTTCTTCTTTTTGGCATTGCCTCAAGATAATTGGAATTTTTCTTCCCAGTTGAAATGAAAGAGAAAATGTTTGCATTTACCTCTTGCTTTCTGACTTCCGAAATAAGCTCTTGAAGCTCCTTTCAAGACTGCAGGTGGGAAAACCAAACATTCTGATTTGTACAACCCAGATCTTGAAAGGAAAGAAAATTTATATTTGTTTGGTTTGTTTGCATGCTTGGCAATATCAGAAATCAAAGCCCTTTCTGTGAATGGCTCACAGTTTATGCACATAAAAATCTGGAAAGAGCAGAGTGGGTGGGGGTAGGTCAGAATGTGCAACTCCTACCCAGAGAGCGGCAGTGGGGAGGAGGGAGATGGGCCTGCCTGAGATTACATGAAGGAGGCTTGAGGAGGGAGGTCAGGGGAGGCAGGGGCGGCACTGGAAGATGGCCCCCACTGAGGACAGGTTGCTGCTTGTGCCAGGGGTATGATTTGGTGCAGCTCATTCCTACAGCCCTGTTTGGCAAACCAATCTTCCCTGACCTACATAAATAAACGGACCTCCCCACCCTTGCCATAAAAACACCCATAGGGTGGAGACTGGATAGCTAGACATTTGTGGTGGGAAGGAAAAATCCCCTGCACCAGTACTTATGTGGGATGCAAGAGACCTAGCTCTATGCTTCCTTTTCCCCACAATGCAAAGTCCCCTGGCTGGTATCCCCTGAATTTGGACTAGCCTTTACCAGCTGGTTGGCTTCTGACAGGATACAGAATCATAAAATAAACTCCTGCAGTAGAATGGCAAAAGTTTGGACTTGGGTGAAGCCTGCATGAGAAACGATGAGTGATAGGGAGCAGACAGACGTGAGCAGTGGGAACATTAGGTAAAGGGGATAACCGTGTTGAACCCCACAGTTTTCTTTTAAAACAATTTAACACCAGCCTTGCCTGGCTTAAGCCAATAGGATATGTTGCGTTCCTCAGCAATCAACCTGTTATCTGCAAGAGAAACACAGATGCCAACAACACAAGTTACCCTGAAAGGCTGATGGCAGGGTGGAAGGGGGGAGCTGGGGGGGTGGAGGTTTCAGCTTCTGGAACTCAGGGAGATAAGGATCATCCCCCCAACCATAAACTCTATGAGAACAAGTTCCAATTAGAACTTGTCGGCGTGAGCCCAAGTGACAGTGACCTAGAGTGGCCCTACACTTTTATCTTGTACTGTGGGACTTGGAAGTTTGATGCAATCCTGCTATCTCAGTCAAAAGTCAAGAGGTGGACCTGGGCAGGACTCTCTGAAAACTCCCCTGGAACCCCAAATAAAACTGGAGAGCAGGAGGGGCATGTCACCCTTCTCCCTGAGAGAATCCACCGTCTCCCTTGAGGGTGTCCAGTTTTCCTCTTTTCTTATTCCTTCTAGTAAACTTCGCTATTCTTGACTAAGTCTTGTCTCTTGCCTGGAATCCTCTAAAGCAAGAATACAGAGATCCAGGGCTGAGACCTCCAGAGCTGCCTCATCAGCTTGGGCTCTGCCAGTGGGTCTCCTCTTCAACCATGAACATTTGAATACGGCAGTGGCCAGGGATGGGCCAGAGAGCTATTAAGGGATGGAATCCACAGGACATGACTGATTGATATGGCTGGAATTCAAGCGCCTTCACTTAGACTGCCACTCTGGCTTCAAGTCTTGCTACTCCCTTTGCCAGCCTCTGTCTAGCTGGTTCCTGAACATTCCTGCTCTCGTGGACGCTCTACTCCTTGCCTTTGAATGCACTGTGCAGGACTCTGCCTGGAAAAAAAATTTTTCACGTTTTTTTTCTGTTTCTCCCCCAAATAGAGAATGAGCTACTTGAGGGAAGGCACTCAGTCTCCTTTCTCTGAACCCCAGTACCTGGCAGGGTGGGAGCTGGGTGCTTTATATATCTCTGTGGAGCCACAAGCGATCAATAAAAGAAGACTCAAGGTGAAGGGGATGGAAGCAAAAAGAAGGGATGAAGACATCGGGTGAGCCGTCAGACCTTTTCTAATCATTCCTCTCTCTGATGTTACACATGAATCCTCATTGGAGCAAGGCAGAAGAGTGATCAGAATAGGATCTGCCTCTGCTAGCTGCTGGAACTCGAACCAGATAAGATGGGAATGGTGCAGAGAATATTCTAATATTCTGTCCCAACAGTTTTAGGAGGACAGCCACATTCTTAGAGGTGGTTGGTGCCTTCTGTAGACATGGTTGGGGTCTGGAGTGGGGGAACTGAAAGCCAAGAGAGACTTAATAAGATAAAGTGGTTAGAGTCCTGGGTGGCCTGACCCAAGTCCGGTGCTCCAGTCCTGGATGCACAGATAGCCCGTGAGCTGGGCCTTTCTGACTGCTCCTGCCAATTTACATTCTAAAATCTCTCTCTCCTGGCTTTGACTTTTTCTGTTCTTTCCTTGCTACTTCCACTTTTTTTATCCCCCAGGTCCTCAGGAGAGCAAAATGTAAGCCAGTGCAAAAGCTAGGGCTTGCATTAATTTCTGTATCTTTGTATCTTGCAGTAAAAAAAGAAAACCCCACATCTTAAGTCCTGTTTGTCCTGGGCTGCTATATATTTTTTTCTTTCTTTTTTTTTTTTTTTTTTTTTTTTTTTTTTCCATAACTTTTGTTTTTTTTCCTCCTCTTCTCCTTCTTCTTCAAGAAAAGCCTTGTTTTCCAAGAATCTGCTGTTAAGACTGGGGTGTAAAGAACACAGACTTGGGAGATGAGTAGTGTTGCCACTTTATAGAGAGACCTTGGGTAAATTGCTTTGAGGTCCCCTCCCAAGTCCACTTCTCTGGTTCTGTCTACATAAACTGCAAACAGGAAAACCCAGGACCCTGCAGCCAGCCTGCTACACCAGCTCCACACACCCATCCAATACCTCTTAGGGGATGGTTTCTGTAATTAAGGTGATATTGTCCTCATTTTATAGATGGGGCAGCAAAAGAGCCTGCCTCATGCGGTGTAATTTGCAAATCCTTGGGGTGCAGGACCATCTCTGCCCTTCCCCCACACAGTCAAGCCACTTTGGTGGCTACAGGCTTTCTTTATATTTTGTGCTTTGGCAGTGATCTGGAAAACACTTCCTGATTCTGGCCTTCCACTACCCTAACCATGGTTGCTTCTTGAAAAAAGAGGGTTGGGTTTGGAATAGCTTGAGTTCCTGGGGATCCAGGAATCTGGGCATAAGGGCCTGCAGATTGCATCTAAAATGCAATAAGCTCTTCCCCAAATGGAGCTTTTGACAGGACACAGCCATCCAGGCCAAAGAAGACGTCAGCTCACTCGCTCTGTGCTGGAAAGATAGCAACCAGCTGCCTAGGCTGGCTATCTCATGCTGATCACAAGCTCCGATGGGCAATTATATATGTCTTTGATTAATAAAAAATGGGGCAATGAATGAATAGTTAATCAATGCAGTCTGGTGGGAAGGCTCTTTCAGAATCTGGGCTGGGGGGGGGGTGAAGCAGGGAGTAATCACAGGGGTCCTTGGGGTGAAAGGCAGGGCCCCCGTTCTGGGAATGGTTTCTGAAAAGCCCCTTAGTCCTAATTCTTGGCTCCTTGATTCTGTGATGGGGGATTTCCTGGCAGTTCTGCGGGGTGTGTGTATGGGGGTGGGGATGGGGGAGAGGGAGGGGGGAGGGTTGAGCTGATGGGCAAACAAGGCACAATACGTTCCATGCCCACCTAAGTGGTCAAGGTAAGGCACCCAGAATACGGCGTGCGAGTCCGCGTGCTTGCTGAAGCCCTTTGCTCTGCATGCATCATCTCCCTGGGTGGACCTGGGCTTGGAACGTTGTGAAAACCAAGTTGCTTGGGGCAGGAAGGGGACCAGGGAGCTGGGCGGAAAGAGACTCGGCTGGCGTGCTGGAGGGCCACAGAAGGAGAAGAAGGGGCGGGGGTCAAGAGAGAGAAGGAAGTGATGGAGATGAGGAGGCCTGTCCCATCCCCTTCCGGGCGGGCGCGGGTGGAGGCCGGCAAAGGCCTGGGAGGGGCGGAGTCAGGCGCGGATCCAGAGCGCGACCCGCCAGCGCCGAGCGACTGCAGCCCCAGGCGTCGCGCGCGCGGGTAGGACTTGGGCCCGGCGGCGCCTCCGCGGGAAGGCGGCTCCGGGCAGCGCGAGTGGCCGCGGGGCTCGGTGCAAGTGGACTGGTGTGCGGAGGGCGGCGGGGACGAGGCGTGGGAGCCCTAGGCAAGGCTCGCGTCCGGAGTTGGGGACTCGTGTGGCCTGGGTTGTGACTATTAGCCGTGTGACCTTGGACAAGTTCAGGAAGTCCCCTGAAACTTTTGTGCCAGTAAAGTGAAGGTAGCAAACCATCAGCCTTGCGGGAGGTGGTGAGAATGTGTGTTGGCTCTGTGTCGAGCCCCCCTGCACCGGGTCCGGGGCGGGGGGCTGTTCCTGTTTTAGTGGACTCCATTCAGAATGAGCTCAGGAGTTCCTGTTTCCCACCCTGCTGCTTGGGCTACTTTGGGTACAACATTAACTTCCATCTGTGACTCTGGGTTGCCAAGTTGGTATTCAGATGCAATAATGAGATGATGTATGAAAAGTTTTTTATTTATTTACTTTTATTTATTTATTTTTGCTTGTGCTGGGAATTGAACCTTGCACACGCCAAACCCTCTGCCATGGATCTACATTCCCAGTGAAGGTGTGATTCCCGAAATTTCCTTCCAGGGGTCATAATCATTCTGCCCTTCCTCCTCCCCCTTTGTCCACCTCTCCCTTTCCCACAGGCAGCCTCTACCTTGTTTTTCAGGATCCAGAGAATCATCCACTGATGGGTTTTGCCCAGGCCCCCAAAAGTTGGAACTATAGAGCTCCTTGAAGGAAAGGAATTGCCAAAGGAATTTTCCAAGTGGGCACACACCAGGACCTGCAACTTGTGTGGTCCGTCCAGGAGGACAAAGTGGGACTTGAGGATTTGGGGCCATGGCAGGGCCGAGCCTGCCCCTTCGTGTGGCCACCCTTCTGACGGGGCTGCTGGAATGCCTTGGCTTTGCGGGTGTCCTCTTTGGCTGGGCTTCGCTAGTGTTTGTCTTCAAAACAGAGCATTACTTTGAGGATCTCTGTGAAGCAGATGCTGGTCTCCTGAGCAACGCCACAGAGCAAGCTGGTAAGGACAGCGCTGGCTTTTCCAAGGACGCTGAGCCAGGTCCCCAGGAGGTTGGGAAGGGATAGGGAGGACTCTACCTCTTGCTCACCTTTCCAGCCTTTCTAGGGCAAGAGGAGTGTCAGCAAGTCCCCCTCTTGTCTAGGAGATGCAGGGGGCTTCCAAGGGGTGTCTTGGGGGCAGGAATCTTTAGGGACAGCTGTGTCTTAACCCAGCTTGAGGAAGAGCCTTCTGCCGGTGAGCTGTCCTAGAGGGAGGGGAGCCCGAACTGGGCACTCACCTAGCAGGGAGGCTGGGATGATGGGAGCTTATCCCATGTATCCTGGACTAATGAGAACCCTTCTCTCTCCAGACTGCAAAGCCCAGGATGAGAGGTTCTCTCTCATCTTCACCGTGGCCTCCTTCATGAACAACTTCATGACGTTACCCACTGGCTACATCTTTGACCGTTTTAAGACCACCGTGGCCCGCCTCTTAGCCATGTAAGTCCAAAGGCCCAGCCTGGGCAGAGGCTAGTAAGAGGGATTCTTCAGGCAGCTGCCTGGCTGGGAGGGAAACCCAGGTCAGGCGATGGGACAGTCCTGGCAGGCTCCTGAGCAGTAGCTGGCTGGCAGGATGTGTCTGTAGGCCCGCCCTCCTCCCCCGCACCCTCTCTAGCCTTTCCTCACCTCCTTCCCCTGGCTCCATAGAACAGTGTGTCTTTTTATCACCTGCTGAATTGAGCAGGAACCCAGGCTGACGTCCTGTGAGGTCTGGCCTGGGGTCAGGGTTACAAAATTAGCACACCCAAGATTGCTCCTCTCTGCCTCCCTTCACTCTGGGGACCCTTCTGTCACTCCTAAAAGTCCTCACACCAACTAAGCCTTGTTCTTTATCCTCCTCACCCCATCACTGTCCAGGGCTCCGTTACTAAGGTTTTCTGGGTGTCTGCAGTGGTGGGATTTCAGGTCCCCTCGGACTGGAGGGCGACAGCGGGGGTCTCCCTTTCAGGCAACAGGTGGGTCAGGGAGAGGAATAGTTTGCTCCTGCCATTGGCTTCTGTGTTCGGATCTCTGTGCTCTTGGCCAGGTTCAGTGATAAGCAGTGGTCTGCTGAGGGCTGATATGACCCAGAGCAGCACCCCAGGGAGGCTTGTGTGGGCTCAGCTGTCAAAGAGACGGATGGGAGGCTGGGGATGTGGCTCTGGGCTTTCTCCTTCCTTGACGGTATTCTTTTCTGTATTTCAGATTTTTCTATACCAGTGCCACTCTGACCATAGCCTTCACCTCTGCAGGTGAGTCATGTTAGGTGGGAGGAGGGACAAAGACGAGGGGCACTGATAGATGGGCCAGGTACAGAGGGTGTCAACCAGAGCCCAAGCACCCCGGGGTTATTCAGAGATCAGCTTGCAAGAGTCCCTCAGTGATAACGAGGTTTTTGCTGGTTTTGGGAACACAGCTTAGTCTTCCAAGAAAATGTGAGAAGGAAGGGCAATGGAAGTGGGCTGCTTCAGAGAGGATTTATTCAAGGGATTATTTCCTTCTTGGAGGTGTAAAAATGGTCTCTCTTTCTTTTTTTAAAAAAAAATTCAAATGAAAATATGAATGAGTTTTGAAAGTATCCTTACTTAGCAGGATAAAAGTTGACAACTCTATTATACTCAAAAGCTTTTTATTTTTCAAATATTCCCCTTTATTAAAATCTATGAATTCCAACTTGGTTTATCCATCCTGCCTCCTTTATGAAGAAGAGCCAACTGAGGCCAGAGAGGGACCCTTGGCAAAGACTTGCTCCAGAGTTGGTGGGAGGTGACCCTGGGGGGGCTTTGGGGTTAGGAATTCAAGGTATAGCACATAACCGGGTTCTATACCGGAGATGATGTCAAGGGTGGTCTGCATTCATGCTGAGCAACCTCGGAGATCCAAACAGATCTTGTGAGATAGCCTGGCACCTCTTAGGCCAAAGACTTCACACTGTGCTCCTTATCAAACGGGCCTCAGGTAATCGAAAGCCTGTCAGTAATTTTCTTTTTTTTTTTAATTTTTTATTGTGGGTTGTTCAAAACATTACAAATTTCTTGACATATCATATTCCACACTTTGATTCAAGTGGGTTATGAACTCCCACCTTCACCCCATACACAGATTGCAGAATCACATCAGTTACACATCCATTGATTTACAAATTGCCATACTAGTGTCTGTTGTAATTTTCGAGTAGCTGAATATGGCTGGCTCGTGTTTGATTCACCATTGTGAATCGTTTGAGCAACTCTTCCCCCTCTTCCTCCATAAAAAAAAAAAAGGGGGGACTTTTTGTTCTGGAAAAGGCCTGGAAGCCCCAGTAACTCTTGTGAAAGCAGTCTCTGCCAACCTTTAGTTCATTAGGAGACATGGACGTTTTTATAAGTACAGAAATTGAAATGGTAAATAGCATGAATGCTCTAAAATTAGCCCAGTTCAGGGCTTCTCAGGTTACACAACAGTAGTTACTCAAAAGGATCTTAGCCCCAGCACACGACACACACACACACACACACACACACACACACACACACAGATATTAAGAGCCCAGACAACTTCATTAACAAACATTGAGTCACCTGCTGGAACAGTGATTTTATTTCTCTTTCATTCCTTTTGTTTTCTTGGGGCTAGTCTAACACCCTGATGACAGGAGCAGGTCGATAACATTGTTTTTCTTTGTTGTATTTAATTTTGCATTTACACTCCCATTCATAACCAGGGAGCAAGGGTTTCTACTTACCATGGTGACACAAAGTATCTCTCTCCTTTTTTTTTTTTTTTGTTTTTGGTGTGTGTGGTGCTGGGGATTGAACCCAGGGCCTTGTGCATGCGAGGCAAACACTCTACCAACTGAGCTGTATCCCCAGCCCTAGAAAGGGTCTCTTCAAGTGGTTTTCTTTTGGTTAAAAGTGGGTCAAATTAAAGAAAATAGTTTCTTTCTTTGTGGGGCTGGGGATGGAACCCTGGGTATTGCTCATGCTAAGCATGGGTTCTGCCCTCCCCCATCCCCTAAAGAAAACATTTTAACAAATAATAGGACAGGCAGAGGTTATGGCCAAAATCGTAAAGGAGGGCAGAAGTCTGTGGTTTGGGAAAGACTAATTTACCAAGAGTTCCTTCGGCCCTGGCCCTTGTTTTGCAATTACTCAGTGCTTACCAGGCCTGTCTTAGCAATCTGCTTGCAGCCAGTCTTTTCAAGTGCAAGAGGCGTGCTTTTCTATCTGGTACTTCCAATGCCAGGGACCACGCCTGACATGAAGGAATAGCTTGAAGTTCAGGGACAGAGGAAAGACCGTGGCCGTGTTCTCAATCGGATCTCCCAGCACCCTCGTGTGGCAGGAAAAGTAGAGACTGTTGTTCCCATTGAACAGATGAGGTGACTGAGGCACAGACCCAGAAAAACAGCTCAAGGCTGTGGTCATGCAGTGAATTAGAGACTGGGCTTTCAGGGACGGTCGGATGAGTCTGATGTCCTCTTCCCTCATAGTGTGGGGGGGTGAAGAGGAGGGGGTGCTTGTGGTTTGCCACAGACCTAAACCCATCTGTAGTGGAAAAAAGGTAACTCTGCAGACACAGCTGGGAAAATCTGTACCCTAAGACCCTTGAGGGAGGCCAGAAGCTGGGGAGAACTGGGTCCAGGGTTGTTGGGCCTCTGAAGCAGGTGGGATCTAGGGCTTCCTGGAGGAGAGGGGAGGATGTGCTGGCATTTGGGGTCATCTTTGGGTTGCTGCAGCATCAGCCCACCTCTGACTTACTTTGATGGTTCTAGACTCAGCTGTGCTACTCTTCCTGGCCATGCCCATGCTCACCGTCGGGGGAATCCTGTTTCTCATCACCAACCTGCAGGTGTGGGTCTGTGGAGTGTCAGTGGTTGGGATGAGGGAAGGAGGGCACTTTTCCACAGTTGGCTGCTTCTGATGGGGTTGGCCCAAGCCAGTGGGGGGGAGCTCTTGGGGTGGAGGGTGGTGCAGGTTCTGTGCGTGGCTGGTGCTTGCTGGACTCTCAAGATAGAGTTGTTCCATGAGTAGATTGGTGGTCCAAACTTGTTGTGTCTTCTCTAGATTGGGAACCTGTTTGGCAAACACCGTTCTACCATCATCACCCTCTACAATGGAGCATTTGACTCTTCCTCTGCAGTCTTCCTATTCATTAAGGTAAATAATAGCAGAATTGGGTATTCTTTTTTTAAAATTTGTTCTAATTAGTTATACATGACGGTAGAATGCATTTTGACATATCATACATAAATAGGGTAAAACTTCTCATTCTTCTGGTTGTACATGATGTAGAATTATACCAGTCGCGTAATTATACATGCACATAGGGTAATGTCCAATTCATTCTACTATTCTTATTACCCCCACAACCCCTCCCCTCCCTTCACTCCCCTCTGTCTAATCCAGAGTACCTCTATTTTTCCCTAGCTTCCCTGCCCCCACTGTGAATTAACATCTGCATATCAGAGAAAACATTCAGCCTTTGGTTCTTTGGGATTGGCTTATTTCACTTAGCGTGATATTCTCCAGCTCCATCTATTTATTGGAAATTACCATAATTTCATGCTTCTTGAAGGCTGAATAATATTCCATTGTGTATATCACAATTTCTTTATCCAGTCAACTATTGAAAGGCACCTAGATTGATTTCATAGCTTAGCTATTGTGAGTTGAGCTGCTATAAACAGTGATGTGGCTGTGTCACTGTAGTGTGCTGATATTTATTTATTTATTTATTCGAATTAGGTATATATGACAGCAGAATGCCTTTTGATTCATTGTACACAAATAGAGCACAACTTTTCATTTCTCTGGTTGTACATGATGTAGAGTCATATCATTCGTGCAATCATACATGTACGTAGGGTAATGATGTCTGTCTTAATCCACCATCTTTTCTACCCCCGTGCCTCCCTTTGTCCAACCCAAAGTTTCTTCATTCTTCCCATGTTGCCCCTGCTCCCATTATGGATCAACATCTGCTTATCAGAGAAAACATTTAGCCTTTGTTTTTTTGGGATTGGCTTAGCATGATATTCTCTATTGCATTTACCTGAAAATACCCTAAGTTTATTCTCTTTTAGTGCTGAGCAATATTCCATTGTGTATATATAACACAGTTTCTTTATCCATTCATCTATTGAAGGGGCATCTAGGTTGGTCCCACAGTTTAGCTCTTGTGAATTGAGCTGTTATAAACATTGATGTGGCTGCATCCTTGTAATATGCTGATTTTAAGTCCTTTGGGCATAAACCAAGGAGTGGGATAACTGGTCAAAGGATGGTTCCGTTCCAAGTTTCCTAAGGAATCTCCGTACTGCTTTCTAGAGTGTTTGCACCAATTTGCAGTCCCGCCAGCAGTGTCTGAGTGTGCCTTTTCCCCACATCCTCGTCCACATTTTTGTTGCTTGTATTCTTGGTAATTGCCATTCTAAGTGACATGAAATCTGCCACCCGCTTGTCCCATGAACTTTGTGTGATTTCTGTCAATTCTCTGAAGTAGGCACTACTTTGCGCCCCCCCCATTTCACAGATGAAGCCATGAGTCTCTGCAGGGTTAAGGTGCTTTGCTGACAGTTCTGCAGCTAGTAGGCCATACTTGAGCTAAAACCCAGGCCTTTCTGCTTCTGAAGCCTGAGCTGTAACCAGGAAGCCCCTTCCTCAGCCTCACCTGGACTTTTTACAGCATGGATATGTGTGGGCAGAGGCTGGGGGCCCTTTGGAATGGGGTGTGTGCTGATATGAGCCTCTAGTTTGGATGAGGAGGTGGGAAGGGGCTGGTGGACAAGAGGGACAGATAGAGGGTCTGTGCAGCTCTCCTAAGGGCTGATGGTAGGTGTCAGGGGGATGCAGTTACCAGTGCCGTTAGTTTAATATTGCTGACCTTCCCAGCCTAGGGAATGAACCCTGATTGGTGTTTAAGCCAACCGCAGCATCTCCCCCTCCCCCACCCACCAGCAGTGACGGTCAGAAGTGGACATATGACCAAGCCCTTCTTCTTTTTTGGGGGGTGGGGAGGTACTAGGGATTGAACTCAGAGACACTCCACCCCTGAGCCACATCCCCAGCCCTATTTTGTATTTTATTTGGAGACAGGGTCTCACTGAGTTGCTTAGCACCTCACTTTTCCTGAGGCTGGCTTTGAATTCACAGTCCTCCTGCCTCAGCCTCCTGAGCTGCTGGGATTACAGGCGAATGGAGAGCGCCTGGCTCAAGACCTTCTAAATGAGATGAAGGAGGTTCTGCAAGAACTTCAGAGGGTATTTCTTCCCTGAAGGAAAATGAGAATGGAGTAAAATGAAAGCCTTCCTCCTCGGTCTCCCTTCTTACCTTTCCTCTTTGAGTGCTGCATTGGGAGGATGTGACAGCTGGAGTTATGGCTGCCATGTTTTGATTATGAGGCAACAGGCTGGAGGATAAAAGTCAGCACACGAAATATGGCTGAGGGGGAAGGGGTGAAAGAGTGTGAGTCCCATGCTGGGGTTTGTGTTGGACCAGAAGCAGCTGATGCTGCCTGAGGATCACAAGAGAAGAGGATCTCTGGAGGTCCCGACCCCAAAATGAACCTCAGTTAGTCCCCCGAGCACCTTGGCTTGGAGAGTGACCCAGAGACTGAACTCCTGGGGTACGCAAGCCTTTTGACCCCTGGTGCAAGGTTACTTTCCAGGTTCTCTCCCTTCCCCTGGGCATGCCACCATTTCCCTCCCCTCCAGAGGTGGCCGGGGAGGGCGCTGTAGCAGGAGCTGGAATCCCTAGTTTAATCCAACTTGGCTGCGTCCTCTGATGTTGGGCGATTCCTTGCACATGGAGGACCTCAGTCACCCTCTGTAGAGGGAGGAGGGGGTTAGACCAGATCTGTGGTTTTTGAACTGGTGTCGAGGAACTCAGGAGTTCCCTTTGATGTGCTGTTGGTCACCAAGGAGAATGCAGGGGAAGATAATTTGGCAGGTTCCCACGGATGTGTTTGCTAAGTTGAGTTTTTGTGTAAATTTTGTTTGAACAAAAAGACTTCCCTGCTATTGGTGTGTGTGGGAAGCCATTGGCTGGGAGATCCCTGAGAGCCCTACCAGGAGACTCCGCAAGACTGTGACGAAGGGCGACAGGATGGCTCCCTGCATCTGGCTGGGCCCTGGGCTGAGGGAATATGGGAGCAGGGTGTCCTTGTTCAGCCTCCAGGGTGTGAGCAAGAGGCCTGCTAAGACTCCTCTAGGAAACTGGTTCTACTTCCTGCCACTCCCGTTGATGTTTCTTTTTCTTTTTCTTTATTTATTTGCTTATTTTGGTGCTAGGGATTGAATTCAGGGCCTTGTGCATGCTGAGCACATGCTCTGCCACTGAGCTACCCTGACTTTTTAAACATAACATAAAATGTCCCACTTTAACCATCTTTAAGTATTTAGTTTGTAGCAGGAAGTGCATTCACAGTGTGGAAACACTATGTACCTCTAGAACTCTTTTTATATAAAAGTGGAATATTCTACCTATTAAAACACTTCTCATTCCATTCCCACCCTGCCTACCAGCCCCTGGTTCTGCTTTCTATCTATGAATTTGCATACTTTAGGTATCTCATGTAAGTGGAACCATTCAGAATTTGTCCTTTTGTGACTGACTTATTTCACTTGATATAATATCCTCAAGAGTCATCCATATTTAGCATGTGTCAGGATTTTCTTGTTTAAGAATGAATAATATTCCATTGAATAGATAGACCACATTTTGTTTATCTATTCATCTAATGATGGATGCTTGGATCAATAATGCTGCTATGAATGTGGGGGAGTGCACTGACTTCTTTTTTCTTTTATTTGTAGCTTCTTTATGAACAGGGCAACCGCCTTAGGGCCTCCTTCATCTTCCTCTCTGCATGTAGTATCTGGCATGTCGTGCGTACTTTCCTCCTGATGCCCCGGGGGCACATTCCCTACCCACTGCCTCCCAACTACAGCTATGGGTAAGGATTGTGGGCCAAATCCTAGATCTAGAGTGGAAAGCAAGAGGTACAACAGATAAGGAAGAGCAAACCTGTCCCAGGAGAGGAGAATGGGAACAGGAATGTGTATCAGTTAGCTATTGCTGCATAACAAACTACCCCCAAACTCAGTGGTCTAAAATACTAAGTATTTATTCTTTTCCACAATTTGGATAGCTGGCTAGTTCTACAGACCAGGGCCAGATTTAAATGATTTAAGTGGGGTTGCTTATGCTTCGACCATCTGATGCACTATCTAGGGGTAGGCTAGTTTAGTAGACTATGGGGTTTGGAGTAGTAGGGATGTTTGGGTTACATGGTTCATCTTCCAGCAGATTGGGCTGGGCTTGCTCATGTGGTGGTGTCAGGGTTCCGAGAGAGTGCAGAAATGCAGGAGTTTTCTTGTGATTTAGACTGGCACCTTGCTTTTGTTCCATTCTTTTGACTGAAGCAATTCACAAGGCCAGCTCAGATTCAGGGGATGAGAAAAAGAGCTGATAAGTCCCATTGCAAAGGGTGGAGATACAGAGGGGGTGAGTACCTGTGATAATTTTTGCACTCAGATACAAGGAGTAGACAGAGGGTGTTCATTTGCTGCTCATTTCCCAATTGTCAGACTCCAAGTGCCCTTTGATTTCATTCTCACAACAATCTTCTCAGATATTCTTTTTCTGTACTGGGGATTGAACCCAGAGGCACTTAACCACTGAGCCACATCCCCAGCCCTTTTAAAAAATATTTTATTTGGAGACAGGGTCTCACTGAGTTACTTAGGGACTTGCTAAGTTGCTGAGGCTGGCCTTGAACTCGTGATCCTCCTGCATCAGCCTCTCAAGCCGCTGGGATTACAGGCCCGCACCACTGCACCCAGCTCTTACCTCCATGTTCTAAATGGGAAAAATGAGGCCCATAAGGGGTGGATCTGAGAATGTTCCCGAAGCTAGGAAGAGGCAGGGCTGAGATGGGAATCCCAGGCCCGTCCTCTTCCCAGGCTACCAGAGCATCCCCTACTTTTCTGCATATTAGAATCACTAGAATCATTTGGAGATTATTTTTGAAAAATGGGAGCCTGATTTTTACCCCCAGGCGTCCTGATCGGATCCATCTGGGCTGCTGCCTGGACACTGGGGTTGTTCAAAGGTGGCTCCATTGTGCAGGGCAGTGGGGAAATGGGGATCCACTGCACTGTTCCCTCCAGTCTGGGTCTTGGGTGCAGCTCACAGCCCTTGGCCTGGCTGCTGGGGCTTCTGTTTCCACAGCCTGTGTTCTGGGCGTGGTTCCAGAAAGGAAGAGAAGAAAACAGCTGAGCCCGAAAACAGGGAGCTGCAGTCAAATGAGTGTCTTTCATCAAACGGAGGTGAGCCCTGCTGGTCAGCTCATCTCCCCTTCAGAACCTGGCCTTTCCTGCCACTCACCAAGGCCCTCACCTGGCTCCTCCCGTCAGGAGCACCCCAGGGGCTGAGTCAGGACAGGAGGGGTGGAGAAAGGACCTTCTCTGCCCCCTCACTTTGTAGAGGCATTAGAGAGGGCAGGACTTTTGTCCCTTTTGTGTTCCTTTCCTGTGTTCCTCTTTTCTCTCTGCATCTCATCCTGTCCCCAGTGAAGTCTGCCTTCCATTGTTTGGCTCCCCACCCCTACTCCAGGCCTGGTCTCACCTGCGGTGCCAGTGCACTGACGTTGGTTTCTTTGTCCCCATGTCTGTCTCATGGCTCTGCCCTCTCTCATGGCCCCCGTCTCTGTTGCTGCCTCCTTTCCCTCCTCTCTCTTTGGTTACAAATATTACAAATCAGCTACTGCTGGCTGTAGGAGAAATAAAGACAAGACTTGGAAGGAAGAAACAGGGAGCTGGAGCCAAAGGATACAAGGTAGCCAAAGGATACAAGGTAGCCAAAGGATACGTAGGATGATTAAGTCTAGAGAGATCATCTACCCATGAGGGCTGTGGCTGATACAATTGTATTGTATTTGAGATTTTTTGCTAAGTGAATAGATTTTAGCTGTTCTGGATTTAAAAAAAAAAAAAAAAATAAGTGGATAACCATGTGAGATGATGGATATGTTAATTTGCTTCACTATAGTAACCACTTCACTATCTATATGTATCCCATGACATCATGTTGCATACCTTAAATATACACAATAAAAATTTATTTTAACAAGAAAGAATAATAGGACTCTGGGAAGCTCATAAAATCAAGGGGAAAATTGCACTTGCCAGGCTCCTGGGGATGTAGAGCCAGGATACTTCTGGGCATTCTATCCCTTTAGGAGAATGAGGTAACTGGTCAACCCTGGGTGAGAAACATAAGGTGTAGCTCATCGTCCCATCTAGACCACGAGGAATAGAGCAGAGGAGATTTCCCCAAGAAGCTCAAGATGCTGGGACCAAAAGCAAGGGAGGCGATATGGAGCAGACCAGAACAGTAGCTGTCCACCAGTGATCTTCCCATTGGCTCTTTCTCCTCTGTCTTTCTTTTTACCTTTGTGGCTAAGAAAGATCAGGAAAGTATTATTGCAAGAAGTGTCATTGAGCACACCATGAGCAGCAGATCACATTTCAATAGACGGAAGAACTTGGAGGGTCATTCAAAGTGGTAGGACCAGATGACAAGGCACAGCCATGGGGGTGTGCAGGCTGCAGGCAGCTCACAGGGCACACCGGATGAGTTCCTGACACAGGCTGGAAGGTGAACGGGACCTGAGCCTGTCCTGGGAAGGCACCCTCTGCCTTTCCTTCCCCTCCACTTTCCCTATGGTTGACGCCCCCTTCGTCTTTCTCCTCAGAGAGCTCAGGACTCGCGCAGCAGAAGAACCTCCGTTCTTTCTGGAGCTATGCTTTGTCTCAGCGCTTTGCCTGGCACCTGGTGTGGCTGTCTGTGATCCAGCTGTGGCACTACCTCTTCATCGGCACGCTCAACTCTCTGCTGACCAACTTGGCAGGCGGGGACAGGACGCAGGGTGTGTGTGGGGGCTGGGAGGCAGCCCAGCTGGCCCATGCTGGAGCCCTGAGGGGTGGGAGGAATGGGCCCTGTGTTCCAGAGGAGTGCCAGAGGGCCTGGGGGGAGGGACAGGCAGGACAAGGGCTGGGTGGGGGCATCCTCTCCTGAAATCAGGCCTGGAAATCTCTTATCACCCACCCCTCTCTGCTTTTTGCAGTCAGCGCCTACACCAACGCCTTTGCCATCACTCAGTTCTTCGGAGTGCTGTGTGCCCCCTGGAACGGGCTGCTCATGGACCGGCTTAAGCAGAGGTACCAGAGGGAAGCGAAAAGGACAGGTGAGATGGGTTGAGGGACCAGGAGAGGAGAGATCCTCGTTTACCTCAGGCTGTCTTCTTTTGTATTAACCTCTCCTCTCTGCGCTCATTCATTCATTCAGCCACCGGCCCCGGAGGGATAATTAAGAGCCAGCTGACAGGGCCAGACACCAGGGGTTCGGCAGAGGATGAGTCAGATACACCTTTTTTCTCAAGCTGTTCTCCATCTAGCGGGTAGAGCAAGACAGGGCATCAGTCAGTTACGACCCACCAAGCACAGACAGTCCCTACCCCAGGGTTCTGACTTTCTGACGATGACTAACCCTGCAGTACAGCCATTCTGTTTTTCCCCTTTCAGTGTAGTCTCCCATAAATTACATGAGGTATTTAATGCCTTATTATAAAACAGGCTTTGTGTTAGATGATTCTGCCCACTGAAGGCTGAGACGTATGTTCCGAGCACGTTAAGGTAGGTTAGGCTAAGCTGTGACGTTCAGCAGGTTAGGTGTATTGAATGCATTTCAACTTGATGATATTTTGCAGTTTTCAGTGAGTCATAACCCCGTAGCAGACGAGGAGCCTGTGTAAACACACAGGGGATAATGGGACCCAAAGAAGGTCATGTAACTTGTTCTGGGTGAAGATGGGTTGGTGTCAGGGAAGGCTTCCTGGAGGAAATGGCATCTAAGCTAAGACTGAGGGAAGAGTAAAAAGGGAGGAGATGAGGGGAGGGGGCCAGAGAGTAAAGAAGAGAGCGAGACAGTGAGGCAACTGGTGGATCCTGGCACGTGATCTAGGCCAACCAGGGCACAGAGTTCTCAGGGAGCTGTAGGGAAGGGCCTGGAAGCAGAGGGGTGAGAAGGGGCCAGGCTGCTCACCACACCCCGAGAGATTGGACACGATCCTTGGACATGATGGGAGGACACTGGGCTGCTGAGGTACCTCACCCTGTGGGGGTCAGGAATGGGGAGGGGCAGAATCTCAGACAGCATGTCGTTTCACCCTGGATCTCTGACGCGGGGCCTCTTTTATGTAAATGTCACCATGACATCATTGTCACACCTAAAAAAGGAAGAATAATTTCTTAATACTGTCTAATGTGCAGTCACTGTTCAAATTCGCTTCGTTGTCTCATACGTAGCTTTAGGGTTGGTTTGTTCAAATTAGGATCCTAGGTCTACAAGTGTTCTCGGTAGCTGTGCCTTTTTAAAAATCTGTAACAATGTCTCCTGAGCCTTTTCCCTTGTTGTTTACTTGTTGAAGGAACTGGGTTATTTGTCCTGTCGCGTTTCCCACATTTTGCATTTGGCATCTTTTTGGTGTCATTTCAAAGTGTTCCTCTGATTGGGTATTTCCTATAAACAGGCAGATTAGAGGCTTGACAGAGACTCAGTTTGATTTTTTTTGGCAAGAATCATTCAGAGATGGAACCGTGGTCTTCCTCTGCCCTCCTGTGAGCAGGCTCCTGGTATCTGCTGTCTGTGGTGATGAGGTTAAGATTCATCAGCTGATTCGGACACTGTCAGTCTGATCCGTCTGTTTCCCATCAACCTTTCGCCTAATGATTTTAGCGGCCACTGATGATCCATGGCTAGACCCATTATTTTATTAGGGCTGTAAAAGGATGATTTTATATTTCTTCCTTTCCTTCTGCTTTTCATAGCTGGAATTTTTCTATAAAGACTTTCCTTACTATTTCCTTCTCTTGAAATAAATGCTTGGTTTCCCCCTACTTTAGCAGTTTCAGGGGAAAGAGTTGGTGCCTTAGTGTCCCTGGGGATGACTACTTCTTTCTGTCTTAAAGTCTCATTTAAAATATGTTTGAGGGGGCTGGGGCTTTAGCTCTTGATAGAGCACTTGCTTTGCACATGAGAGGCACTGGGTTTGACCCTCAGCACCACATGAAAATAAATAAAGATATTGTGTCCATCTACAACTAAAAAGAAAAAAAAGGTGGTTGTTTTTTTTTTTTTTTTTTTAATGTTTGACATGTTTCAATCCATTCTGTCACTTGTCACCTTCTTCTTCTTCACCTCCTTTTTTTTTTGGTGCTGGGATGAAACCCGGGGCCTCATGCGTGCTGCACAAGTGCTCTCCACTGAGCTTCACCAGACACCTCACTATTGTTTTGTTTTTGTCCTGGGGATTGGTCCTAGGGTGCTTTTCCATTGAGCCACATCCCCAGCCCTTTTTATTTTTTATTTTGAAACAGGGTTTCACTAAGTTGCTAAGTTGCTGAGGCTGGTCTTGAACTTACAGTCCTCCTGCTCAGCCTCCCGAGTCACTGGCATTACAGGTGTGTGTCACCACAGCTGGCTTCCTGGGCTGTTCTCTTCTCTTCTCTTCTCTTCTCTTCTCTTCTCTTCTCTCTCTCTCTCTCTCCTCTTCTTTTTTTTTTTTTTTGCTTTGGCTTGAACTTAGGGGCACTTAATTACTGGGCCACATCCCTAGCCCTTATTTGTATTTTAGACAGTGTCTCGCTGAGTTGCTCAGGGCCTCACTAAATTGCTGAGGTTCACTTTGAACTAGCAATCCCCCTGCCTCAGACTCCTGAGCCGCTGGGATTATAGGCATGTGCCACTGAGCCCTGCTTCCCTCACTATTCTTTTTTTTTTTTTTCTGGTACCGGGAATTGAATTGAGGGTACTCGGCCACTGAGCCCCATCCTCAGCCCTATTTTGTATTTTATTTAGAGATGGGGTCTCACTGAGTTGCTTAGCGCCTTGCTGTTGCTGAGGCTGGCTTTGAACTCGTGATCCTCCTGCCTTAGCCTCCTTAATTGCTGGGATTACAGGCGTGGGCCACGGCACTCAGCTTCCCTCACTATTCTTTTCTTTTTTATATATTTATATTTCAATTGAAGTTGGACACAATACCTTTATTTTAATGTGGTGCTGAGGATCGAACCCAGGGCCTCGCACGTGCTAGGCGAGCGTTCTACCACTGAGCCACAGCCCCAGCCCCTCCCTCACTATTCTTAATGCTCAAATGCTACCATCTTTGGCCACTGAGAACTTTACTAATCTAGCATCTGTGTCTTTTAGACATGCTCCCGATAGTTTGAGACAGTGTCTTTACTTTTTAGCATTGTTGGGTATTCTGGTTCATTTCCTTAGGCGCATTTCCTGCCCCAGATCTGAAATTGGCCATTTCTCCAACTATCCTGGGTCCTTAAATGTTAAATGGAATTTAGAGGCTGCAGTCTTCATGCCAGGCTTTCTAATTGCTCCTGTGATGTCACTGCTTTCAGGCATTGGATAGAATTATGATAGATAAAAATAAATAAAAGATTTTGTAAGAAAAAATGTACCATGAATACTTAATGCTGATATTTTCATTCACATTTCACTTCCTTGATTTTGTATTGTGTCTCTTTTCTTCTTGAAATCTTGTTTCCCAATAACATATATATAAATAAATAATATATATACACACACACATACAGATAATCTTAAATGTGATCACTAGTTTTAGCAACATCAGTATTAAGAAGAATGCAATTTCCAAATGCTATTGCTCCTTCCTTCTCCCCTCTTCCCCTCCTTTCCTTCCTCTTCTCCTCTCCCCCACCCCCACATTTCCTTCCTCTCTCTGTTTTTGGCTTTAGACTCTATCCCTTTACAGATGTACAGTAAAATTACAGTCTGAAGGGTCACCAACTTGATACAGAGTTATGTTCATTTGTTTTATTTTATTTTGTTTCTGATATTTTGGGATTGCTCTGCTTGTCCCCGCCCCCTCCCATTATTTTAATTTAATTGTGTTTTTAAAAGATTTACATTTTTAAAGCCAGGCATGGTAGTGCATACTGTAATACCAGCTACTCAGGAGCCTGAGGCAGGATGATTACAAATTCAAGGCCACTAAGGGCAACTTAGTGAGACCCTATCTCAAAATAAAATTTTAAAAGGGCTGGGGGTATTACTCAGTTCCCTGGGTTCAGTTCCTATACAAAAAAAAAAAAAAAAATTGGTCTGGGGTTGTGGCTCAGTGGCAGAGTGCTTGCCTTGCACATGTGAGGCACTGGGTTCGATCCTCAGCACCACATAAAAATATATAAACAAAGATATTGTGACCATGTATAACTAAAAAATTTTTTAAAATTACATCTTAAACTTTACATCTCCCCCAAACTAACAGTATGAAACAAGATATATTATATATTCAAAGTTTAGCTTCCTTCTCTGTTCCTTGTACCCCTTTCCTTCCCTCTTAAAGTAACTATTTTTATTATTTCTTAAATACAAGTGTTCGATAAGCATGTATATATACAAGTGTGTCTCTGTGCCCCTCTTCCTTAGACAAAGGTAGCCGACTGTAGGCACTCACACACTGTTGTGGTGCGGGGGTTTCTTTTTTATGTGACTCTGCCCTGAGGTTGCTCTTACCTGTGGCTTACCATGAGGCTGTAGCATAGTTGGGGCCCCACTTCCTCACTGGCTGTTTCCAGTTTTTGGCTGTTACCAGCTATGCTATCAAAAAACACCTGGCTACAGGGTATCGGGTGCAAAAGCAGACATGGAGCCTGTTTGGAAGCCATTGCAATAATCTCTGAGTGAGTTCATGGTGCCCTGAAAGTAGGAGGAGCCCATGGGGACAGGGAGGAGTGGACACATTCCAAAGGTACTACTTAGGAGAGGTGAATTATCAATGTCATTTATGGGATGGCAGCAGAGCATGCAGGAGAAGAGAATTCAAGAAAGACCCTTACACTTCTGCTCGGACAGTTGATAAACCCAGCCTAATTCCCTCTTAAGATTGGGAGCCATCTCGCCACAAAGGCATGAAAAGATCATCTCAGCTTTACTATAAATTACTGCAATTTCTAAACTTGCTTGGAATGCCTGCCCGAGCCTTGAACTCACCCATGCCTGGCTTTCCCTGACCAGATAACAACCCTCTCTGAAACTTTAGTGGCGCTTCATAAATTCTGGCTTTCCCTGGCCAGATAGGGACCCTCTCTGAAACTCTAATGGTGCCTCATAAATTCCATGCTGAGATCTGCTACCTGCCTTTGTGTTATGCTTGTCAAAATTGTCTTATCTGTGAGTTCTCAAGACACCACCCCCCCCCCCCACTTTGTGTGACTTTGTGGGCTATAAAGCTGTGCTCCAAGAGAGCTGCGGGGCTGTCTTCTGTTCCCATGGTTTTTGGGAGAGACAACCCGGCCAATCAAAATTATAACCTTGCTTTAATTTGATTTCATTTGGAGCCGATGGTCTTTTCTTTGCCTTGTGGATATTGCTCCCACCTTCTCTGGTCTTTCCTGTCCCTTGTGCTCCATTGGGTTCACCTACGGCAGCTTCTCTTTCCTCTTGGAACAGGTTCTTCCACTGCAGCTGTGGCCCTCTTGTCTGCAGTGCCTTCACTGACCCTGACATCTCTGCTGTGCCTGGGCTTCGCCCTCTGTGCCTCCATCCCTGTCCTCCCCCTCCAGTACGTCACCTTCATCCTGCAGGTGGTCAGCCGCTCCTTCCTCTATGGGGGCAACGCTGCCTTCCTTACTCTCGGGTAAGTGGGCTTGGGTGTTCTGTGATGGGGCAAAGGGAAGCAGGTGGGAGGTAAAGAGCCTGGGGGGGTGAGGGTGGGCCTGGAGTTGTCACGTGAAGACAACTGGATTTGGGAACAGGTGATGCTGGAGGTGGAGGCCAAGAGCAGGAGAGAGCATGCACATATCTGAGCCTTTGCATCAGCTGTGCCCCTCTGCCCGTCTCCTGGTGGATGCCTCCTTCAATGCCACCTCTCCCAAGGGTAATTGGAAAAAAAGCCTTTGCCCTTTTCTGTGCCCTTGGTACTCCATTCCTGCTTTCTTTGATAGTGTGTTCATCTGCCTTTTCCTTAAGATTTCCCCAGGTATGGCCTGTGTCTGCATCCCTGCCCTTCCCCCCGGGGCCAGCACAAGCCTTCTCTGTGTTCTGTGGTCTGAATGCCTGAGCACAGGGGAAGGGAAGGGCTGTGTGGGTGGGCAAAGGAAGGCCTAGGACAGGAATCGGAGGCCCACAGGTGACAGAGGCCCACAGAGCCCAGGCCCCTGAAGCTCACTGGGTCCCCCTGTTTCTCTCCTCAGTTTTCCTTCAGAGCACTTTGGAAAGCTCTTTGGACTGGTGATGACCTTGTCAGCCATTGTGTCCCTGCTGCAGTTCCCCCTCTTCACCCTCATCAAAGGCCCACTCCAGAACAACCCCTTATACGTGAGTGCTGTGGGGAGAGTACTGTGGGGGGAGTACTGTGGGGAAGGCTGGTTCCTGGAGGCCTCCGTCCAGAGCTGATACTAGCCCTAGGGCAGCAAGGTGCCCAGCAGGGGGCACCCAGAGCTGACTCAGGCTGCGAGAGCCAGGGCTATAGCAGAGTTCTGCACATGGGTACATCCTCAGCCTTGCTTCTCAAATCAGTGTGAGTGGGAGTACCCCTGGCTTGCACTGAGGGCAGCTGAAGCCACAAGGGTAACATGGTACAACCTTCTGGAGAGTCTGTTATTCAGGGCTTTGAGGGAAAATTATGATGGGTGTGGAGATAAGTAATGTATTCTGGACTAGGATGTAGAATCCTCACAAAATTTTAAGAAAAACCTAAGACTTCAAAGATATTTCCTGCTTCAAGTGAGTGCAGGCCATTTCCCAAGGCTGTACGTGGACTAGAGTTAGCCTGAGAGACAGGGTCCTCACACCTGAAGGATGCTCAGAGGCCCCGTCCTAAGAGTGGGGAGGACTCTGTAGTTCTCTGTAGAAACCGTGGCTCCAAGAGACTTACACATTTTGAGGCACACGGCTAAGGGGCAGATGTCTCTCCACATTGAATTCAGGGTTCGGATCCCCTGCCTGCCTCTGTTTGCCTCATTTTAAAAAAGTCAGCAGAGTGTAAAACAGGAGTTTAAATCTGTCACTGGGAGAAAAAGAAGGAAAAACTCAAACTAAGGATAATTAGCTTACTATTAAATCAGGGGATCTAACCTAACATTCAGATGGGTGGTATGACAGGTGCCGCCCCAGCTTCCCATGTGACCTTGAGCAGTCGATCATTGAATGCTCTCTAGCTCCCTGTTTCTTAATCTGTGAAATAAGAAGTATTTATTTCCCCTATTTCACAGAAAAGAATGAAAAATAGTCAGAAGTCCTTCTTTCAGGGCGCCATAGTGTGTAGTGGGAAGTGGAATGTGAACTGGGGGCGCTTCTGGCCCCTTTGCTGCTTGAGGGGGTGGCTCAGAGTTGCTAGACTGGCTTCCTCCTTCCTCTCCTTGCAGGTGAACGTGACGCTGTTGCTCACCACTCTTCTGACGTTCGTCCACCCCTTCCTGGTGTACCAGGAGTGCCGCTCCTGGAAGGAAGACCCCTCTAAACCATGAGCTCAGAATCCCTCCCTGGATGCTTTGCATTATCGTTCCCCGCCTTTGAGGACCCCGTGCCAATGGACTTTGTCTACCCAGGTTACTTGTATTAAGTAGTCATTTTTTTTTTTTTTCTAAAGAGAGAGAGAGAGAGAGAGAGAGATGTTTAACCGCTCACCAGGTTTCTGATCAGCAAGAAAGGAATCTCAGTTGCCTACAAACCCAAGGCAAAGGCTTGTGGATCTTCTCCTTGGTTCCAAAGCAGGAAGTGACTCTCTACATGACTCTGGCAGATCCTTGAGAGCAAGAGAGGTGATATGGAGGAGGGGTTGTGTCACCCCTTTGGCCCTGAAGCTCACATGTACTGGCACCTGTGCTGCCAGGTACATTTCTAGGTGAAGTGTGAGGTCATCATGGCCTACTGCCTGGCGTTTAGAGGTGCTGCAGCAGACCTAGCTTTCCCTCTGAAGCACATCTTGGTTGGAGAACTTTCTATGAGCTTCAGGGCAAAGAGGAGCAGACAGAGGCCCCTGGTGCCGGATGAGCTTGGGTGCCCTTTTTTGGTCTGAGCATCACTTTTCCCATGTGTAAAATGAGAGAGTCCAAGGTTCTTTCTGGAGCTAATGTCCTGGAAAGTCTTAGGAACAGTGACAGGGAGTCCACTTGCCCAAGGACCTTAGGAACCAGCTGACCCATTTGCCAAAAGGAAGTCTGATGAACCCTCCTGGGGATATTTTCCTCTTCAGGAAGGGGAATAGTTATTTACTTTCTGGCATTTTATAAAACATTTTTATATGGGATAATTTTGTATAAAAATAAAGACTCTGTGTCTAAGGCCATTGCTATTTCTACTTCTCTGGGCTTGGGACTGGTGTGTGTGTGTGTGTGTGTGTGTGTGTGTGTGTGTATGTATTTGTGTGTGCACGTGCATGCACGCACACATGAGAGTTTGCATGTATGTGTACACATGGGAGTTTGTGTGCATGCGTGCACACACATGTGTTCCTGAGAGGCTCCACCCTGGAAGACTGACTGTGTGAGTGGAGGTGGAGGATCTGGCTGCACATCTTCATATAGCAGCTTGTCACTGAGGTGGGACAGGAGCCCTCAGACTAGGACCCACCCCTGGTCTATTCTGGGACATGAACTCAGAGCCTCCCGCCTCATCCTCCCTATATCCTTCCACACCACACAGCTAGCTAAAAGCATTAGTTGGAAAGAGAAGTTCCTAGTTTTGATCTCAGTTCTGCTCTCAGCAGCTGACCAAGTCTCTTAACTGCTGAGTCACAATCCCCTCACCTGACAGTGCAGTTAATCCTCTCTCTCCCCAGGGCAATTGTGAGCATGTGAATTGCTACCACTGGGCACAGGAGCGTTCCTTTATTTACTCACGACCAGCACAGTAGCAAGGAGAAGGTGAGGGACCAGGAGGGAGGTGGGAAGGGGAGGAGATGGCTGTATTATTCCACCTAGTCCTGAGAGAGCCTGGGAGAGGGCAGCAGGAAGGGGAAGGGAAAAAATGGGAGACATTCATACACTCATTCATCCATTTAGTCATTCAACAAATGCTTGAACACCTGCAATGTATCAGGAGCTATCCTGGGTACCGGGGATATGGGGATGTGCAGGGGTCTAAAGCGCAGCCCTTGCTTTTTCTCACAGGTTGCTGAAGGGTTAATTTACGGTGGCCAAGGAACCTGGGTCTCAAATGGGCACCAAAGTTCTAAGGTGGCTTTGACCTTGTTACTCGACTCAAAAATGACTCGCAAGAGAAACATTCAGCGTCCAGCAGAGCATTTAATCCCCTCAGCAGTGTGATCCCCTGCCCTCTTCACTCTCCACCCCCAGGGGGACAGCACCTATCCCTGTGGACCAAGGTGTTTGGTCTCACATCTGTGCAGACACCAGTTCCTCTGTGTGGTCATCTTGCTCCAACTCTCCTTGGAAAATCCACCTGATCTGCTTTTGTGTTCTGCTCAAAATGCAGAATCTCCTCTACAAATCCTTCCTGGGGCTCTCCATTGGTCCCTGTCTGTAGCACTTGGTCGCACTCTTCCTGGTGACAGGTATCTGCTTCCTGATCTGGGCAGCAAACCAGGGTGGGGTCTGGGTCTCACCTGGATCAGTTACTGTCGTATGCTTGCCGCGTCGTGGTGCCAGCCAAGGCTTGCAGAAAGATCTAATGATAGTTGGGTGTGCGGATTCTTTTTTTGTTTTTGCCTCAGGCCTAATTATAAGATAACAAGAGCACTGGTGGAGGGGGTGGGATGAAATGCTATACAGTGGGAGGGACCCTTTATTTAATTCCAGCTCTGTCACTAGTGTGACCTTGGGTGGGCTGCTTCCCCTCTACATTTCAGTTGATCATTATGATGAGAGAAATAGATTTGCCTCTCTGGGCTGTTGAAAGGACTAGAAATTAGGTCAAGTACCTGGCATAGGGTAGACACTGAATAGATCATGAATAGCTAGCATTACAGATAATATGTGAAGGCCTGAAAGATATCTAAGGTCTATCAAGAGGTGAAGGAAAAAATAAATAGACCCACACAATGCGATATTATTTGGTAATAAAATAAATAAATAAATAAAATACTGACACAGATTACAACATGGACAAAGTTTGAGAACATTCTGCTAAGTGGGAGGAGGGCCAGTCACAATAGACCACAGATTCAGTGACTGCCTATTTATATGGGAAATACCCAGAGTAGGCAAATCCATAGAGACAAAGTAGATTATCGATGGGCAAGGCCTGGGTGGGGAGGGGATGGGGCAGCAAAATCTAATGGGCAAGGGGTATCTCTTGGGGGTGACAATCTCCTAAAATTGATGGTGGTGATGGTTGCAATATACTATAAAAACCATTGAATTTTACACTTTAGATGGGTGAATTGTATGGTATGTGAATTTTATCTCAGTAAAGCTGCTATTTTAAAAAAGATGCCTGGATCTCTCAGGAAATGCAGAGAACACTCATATCCTGAGTCAGGGGATTTCTGGGGAATGTGAGCAAGAGAAGAGGAAGTAAGAGACACAGCTCATGTGCAGAGCCTCCTGCTTCTGCCCTGAGACTCCTCCTTCTACAACTTCTTCCTGAAAAGGGACCAACTGCCCTGTCCCATGAGGAAGCAAGCAACCCGGGTTTCACAAGTCTTGGTTTGACTTAGCAACAGGCTTCCAGCTCAGAGCTTGTCTCCTGCTACCAACCTCAGCAGAGAGGGGTGGAGGTGACTGTCCCCGCCACATGCCCATTGCGCTGCTGGGCCACCACCAGACCCAGGTCTACTACTGAGAACCTCTGGGTTCAATCCCAAATACCATCCCACCATGTCATGGGGTCTCCCATTCACACACGCTCTCAAGATGTTGTAACCCCCACTCTTTTTTCCCTCTGTGGCCAGTGCAGGAGTCCCAGATGACAGTGACCCACGGCCCTATTTATTTTTATTTTGAGGCACAGTCTTGCTAAGTTGCCCAGGCTGGCCTCCAACCTGTGACCCTCCTGTGTCAGCCTTCCGAGTCCCTGGGATTACAGGCAATAGCCACCGTGCTTGGCTACACTTATTCTTATCCAAGAAACATGGTTGTTTTACAACAGACCAGAAAACAAAGTACTGTGTGGAGAAAAAACAGCATGTTGTAGCACAGCTCTGAGAAAACCATGGTTAGCACCTCAGTATATTTCTTCCTAGTCTTTTTACTGGAATCTCATCAGCTTTTCTTTATACCACCAAATGATCACACACACACACACACACACACACACACACACACACACACAATGATTTAAATAGTTGGTTAGACAGCCGTGATGGCCCAGCTTTTCAATCCCAGGCTGAAGCAAAAGGATGGTAAGTTCAAGGCCAGCCTCAGCAACTCAGAGAAGCCTTGTCTGAAAATAAAAAATAATAACGGGTGGGATGTGGCTCAGTGGTAGAGCACCCCTGGGTTCAATCCCCAGTGCCACGAACACACACATCTGTTTACACACCCAGACTGATGGCTATGTCACCTCTTGTTTGTCCCCATTCAACCTGTTGTGGGGTCTCCTATTCACACACACTCTCAGGATGTTGTGTTCCCACTCCATTTCTGTTCCCTCCGTGGCTGGTGCAGGGGTCCCAGATGACAGAGGATCACAGGGCAGCCTGGGCAGCAGAGCCGAGAGTGTCAGAATAATAGAATTTAGGGGGCAAGATGTTGTCACTTATCATCACCAAAGAGTCACCTTGGGCGTTTCCAGAGAAGGAGTCCAATCTTTTAATCATCCATCATCTGGTGGGTGTTCATTTGAAAATACTGGGTGCTAAATGTCAATCCTCTGCCCTCAATTCAGCTGAGCAAGGATCCTGAAGTGATGTCCTGGAGCCCCTTGAAGGAGAGAGGATTTCCCAGCAGATCTGGGTGTGGCCCTGGGGCACAGCAGGTGTCCCTAACATCCTTTGAGAAGGACATTTCAGATCCAGGCTTAAAAGCACAGGCACAGTCCTTCAGTGAAAAAGAGTTCACAGGGGACACATTTGACAGCTCCTGGGCATACCACCGCCTGGGTCACCACCAATATCACACGAGGACTTCTAATCCCAAACATCTTCTCTTGGTCCTCCGACATTTTGTTTCCTGGTTCCAACATTAGGCTGAGCCGTAGGGAGCATGGGGAAGGATCTGGGCTTTGCATGCACTGTCTGCAGGACCTTAAAGGAACCCATAACCACACCAAGCCTCAGTTTCCCCACCTGTAATGGAGATAGAAGTACCATAAGGGTGTGTTGCAAGTACTAGACAGAAATTTGGGGAATAAAAGGTAGAAGCAGCTTGAGCTCTGGAGTTGGACCAGCAAAGACCATCTGCCAGTTCTTTGCCACACAAGGCCTGAGACTTAAATTCATGGTGCTTCCATTTCTTCATCTGTAAAATGGGGGTAATAATTAGAATACATTATGGAGTTATAAGTATTGACTTGAAGAACATCAAGCACTTCAAACAGGACCTGGCACATTAGTGTGTGATCAGTGTAAACCACCTGCTGTGTGTGGCTGCAGATGTTAACAGTAACATCTGTAATGCCCTGGGGGAAGTGCACAGTAGAGTGTGAACACAGTTCAGGATGAAAACCCTCCCTGGAAACATTTGCTTAAGCTTGTTTCTGCCTAAAAAAAGCAACATCTTCCTTATTGTTCGCAACAGGAAAACTTCAAAGGCAAAAGAAAACAAAGACTTCCTAATTACCCAATTCTTAAGCCAAAGTCAATGAAAAATATCAATCTTCATATTCAATTTTTGTGCTACTGTTGATTCTCCAGCAGTCAATGCAGAAAATCCAAATGCAGAGAAATGTCAATTACCAGGGGTAGGACTGTCTATTCCTTCTGGAGCTCTGGGGGAAGAGAGCAGAGAGACAGCCCTCTGTCTCATTCGCACGTTCTCAGGCCGGCTGTCCTTGAACAGGTTGTATGCATGCTTCTGTTTCCTTGCTTGGCAATGGAGGTGAACTGCGCCTACCTCAGATAATGGTGGGGATCAGCCAGGTGCTCCATGAAAGCATTTGGCCCCGGGCACATAGTGGGTCCAAAATTAATGGCATCAATCAATTTTTATTATAGATGCAAAATCACATTATAGGTCAAGTACACTATTAAGAAGTGACCTGGTTTTATTTCCTCACTGGGGATGCATCTCATCCAACCCATAGTTAACTCCTGCTGTTTCTTTAGCTCTCCCCTCCTCTCTGGTCTGTGGCATAGTGCAGGTTTTCATAGCACCAGCACTTCTCTGCATAGAGCTGGTCACAGTTATAGCTTTATTTGTGATAAAAAATATTAATATGTGTCTTCCA